TGCTAGGTTGTTTTAAACATGCCAAGTAGGGCCTGGCACAATAGCTCAGTGGCTAAATCCTGACCTTACATGTGACAGCATCCTCTATGGGCGCCAGTTCGTGTGTTGCCTGCTCCACTTCCCTTCCAGCTCCCTCTTGTGGCCTAGGAAAACAGTGGAAGATGGTTCAAGGCCTTGGGACCCTGCACTCGTATGGGAGACTGGAAGAAGCTCCTAGCTCCTGGCTTCAGATCGGCTCAGCTCTGTCCATTGCAGCTGCTGGGGGTGGCGGGGTGAATCAGCAGATGGAAGATCTTTCTGTCTCTCCTTCTCTCTGTATATCTGCCTTTCTAATAAAAATAAGTAAATATATTTTTAAATGTGAAAGTAAAGGATATGAGGGAGGATGAACCCTTTATCTCCTCTCACCGATGGTTCAACTACTTCCTGCCAAGAAGATAAAGTGACATTCTTTCCAAATTACAACGGCTGGAAATCTAGACCAATATGTTTCTCAGTACCTTTTGGTTTTCATTTCACAAGAATATATAAAAACTTTGTAATGAAGCAACATTAGCATCTGGCAAATCCTCCTGGAGGGCGAGCAGTTGCCACTTTTTAAGCCCCGTGTTTTCAGCCTGCTTTGGGATATAAGGTTCCCCAAATATTTAACTGCCCCTAGTTACTCTTGATGTTTGTTTTTAAGATTGATTAATTGATTTACCATGGAAGTCAGAGTTACAGAGAAACGGAGAGGTACATCTTCCGCCTACTGCTTTACTTCTCAAATCGCCACAACAGCCAGAGCTGAGCTGATCTGAAACTAGAAGTCAGATGCTTCTTCTGAGCTCCCATGTGGGTGCAGAGGACCAAGGATTTGAGCCATTCTTCCACTGCCTTTCCAGGCCATAAGCCAGGAGCTGTATGGGAAGTGCAGCAGCCAGGACACAGACTGGTGGTGTATGGCATGCCGGGGCCGCAGATGGAGGATTATTCTGTTATGTCACCAAATCAGCCCCATTATGTTTCTTTGTGATTAAGTTTGAGGCATAACGCACTGATATGGAAGATGAAAATTCATCTTATTCACAACACCTACAAATCCTTTTCTTACCCTCATCGCTCAACACAATTATGATAATTTGGGGCTAGATCAATATGTAAGTTTTACATTTTCATAACTATGTCGATATACAGTTGACCCCCTACAGTATATTCTAGTTACATTTTCTTTCTCGTGTAAAGATTTTTCGTTGTTGTTCTCTGTAACTAATTTCCGCCCCCCTCTGCTTAGCTTTACAGGAACCCATCCACCCACACGAGTCTCCCCTCACTGAGGACAAACACAGCAGGCCCTCCATCAGCTGCAATGAGCTGATTGTGCCTTTTAATGCGGCTGTTCAGAGCATTGCTGTGGCTTCTCAGTGTGGCGCCGCTAGCTGGGAATGACAGACAATGGATGGGTAAGTGAGGCGGTCCATGTGTTGAGAATGTTGGTGACTCCTAGTACCCTACATGGAGGTTCTTAAACATCTTCCTAGCAATCTCTTTGCTGGCTTGAAGCATTTTAAAGCATTTTCAGGAGATGCCCTTGATAAAAGAAAAATTTTGAAGTGTCTGAAGTTTAATGCCAAGGGACAGAAGATGGAGAGAGAGAGAAACATGTGGAAGGAAAGTTATTCAGTCAATAGTTATGAGGGAACCAAGTATGTGTCACACCCTTTAAAGAAATGTGTATTTTTCTCTACTTGATTGGGAGAGAGAGAGAGAGATAGATCCCATTTGCTGATTCACTACCCAAATGTCTGTAACAGCCAGGAATGGCCAGGACCCAGGAACTCTGTCTAGGTCTCCCACGTGGCTGGCATGAGCCTAAGCACTTGAACCATTATCTTCTGCTTCCCCAGAAGCATTGGTACGAAGCTGAACCAGAAGTGGAGCAGCTGGGATGCGAGGCCACACCCTGAAAAGGGATGCAGATGCCCCCGAGCAGTGGCTTAACTCACTGCATCACACACATCTTTGAATGTCTGCTAAACTATGGATAAAAATTTTATCAAGGTTGACCACCAGGGTTATTGTACCCTGTTTATGTAGTAACTAGCACTGTGAACCCCAAGTGATCCTGATAACAATCAGTCCTCCTTGTGGACAACCCTTTCTTCCTCAGACTTTCTCTGCTTTGTGTTACCCTGCCCCACTTACCCACAGGCAAAGCAGGCTTCCTGGAGTTAAACTTCCCTTCACTATTTCCGCTAAACATGTTAGGCAGGCAGTGACAGAATTCACTAAGGGAAACAGCACCTATGGAAAGGAATGTAGTCACCTCTAGCAGTCTCAGAAGCACATTTTGAAAAAAGCCCAGTATTTCACACTACAGATTTCTGCTCATAACCCAGTAACTGCACGGGTGGTCCCAGCTCCACGCGGTGCCACCCTACTCCACGGAGTCACCCCAGGATAATCCTCTCTACCCAGAGCCAAGTGAACCTCCCAGTCCGGTAACCCTGGGTAATAAAATCTTGGGAGGAATTTTACCAATTTCACAGCCAGAAAACTCTAAGAGAAAATGGTGGGGGTTAGGGACTGCCGACAGCCAGACCATGGGCACTGTCCAAATCCCAACATTTCCCATGCCTATGACGCAGGACACTCACTCACTGTGCCTCATACATCTAGTTCCACTCTCCATCACACTCAACCGTGACACCTTCCTGGGGACCACCACATGCTTTTAGGATAGCCTGCATCCATGTCTGAGTGTGTACCATCCAGAAGGTCCTGCTCTTCTGACCACAGCCACCTATATTTTCCAGTTTCTTACCCACAGGAAGATAAGAACCTGGATGAGGCTGACTGGGGGTGTCTGAGTCCACCTGGGTCCTGGATCCCAACACAATCTGAGGATTTTCATTCCCTGTGCATCATCAATATCCAACCTTCAACAAAACTGTATCAAAAATGTATTACTAGGGCCCAGCGCGGTGGCACAGTGGTTAAGGTCCTCGCCTTGCACGCCTGGGATCCCATATGGGCGCCGGTTCTATCCCGGCAGCCCCGCTTCCCATCCAGCTCCCTACCTGTGGCCCGGGAAAGCAGTCGAGGACGGCCCAAAGCTTTGGGACCCTGCTCCCGCGTGGGAGACCCAGAAGTTCCTGGCTCCTGGCTTCGGACCGGCATAGCATCGGCCGTTGCGCTCACTTGGGGAGTGAATCATCGGACGGAAGATCTTCTTCTCTGTCTCTCCTCCTCTCTGTATATCCACCTTTCCAATAAAAAAATAAAATAAATCTTAAAAAAAGAAAAAAATGTATTACTGGTGACATTAATATTGGCATGATGCCTTTAGGCAATAAATTGCCAATAGTCAAATGTAGGAGACCAGAACATGTCATTCCCAAATATGCCATCCCTGGTCTAAAAATGATTTTGGGCTAATTATTTAGAAAAACAGCAGATGTAGGACAATCTGTGGAAAGAGATTTTATAAAAGAAATTTACATCGATGGAGGAACTCACCATTTGGAAGAGTGTCTCTTTTATTATTATTTTTTAAAGTTTTTTTTTTAAGATCTGTTTTATTTTTATTGGGATAGTATCAAAGTCCTCTTGAGGTAGGGTTCTCCCTTATGGCAATGAACTCAGCCTTACGTTTGGGAAACCAGAATGCAAAGATGTAGAAAAACTATGTAATACAGATATGCACAAGAGACAAAAGCAACACGTAAAAATTAAAGTTACGTTCCATCAATGTTTAAACCTTTTGTAATGGTCCTCTGACATAATAAGAGCAAAGCTTACTTTTGTCAATAACTAAGGATTCATTCAGTTCAAGACACCTGTTAATGTACAAAGATCAAATAAAAGGACGCTGTGTGACTTGTTATTCTCTTTGTTGTATTTGTTACAACAGTCAATAACAATACACAGAGAAACCTACTTGGGTAGAGAACTGAGCTATTCATATTGTAATTATACTTGTAGAATCGAAATACTTACAGGCTCAGCCATAATGAAAATGATCCCATGAGGCTCTGAAATCACTCTTAGTAATGTTGAGAAACAATCAGGTGGGTATTGACAATGGCCTTTTCTTGGGTTTTGGTATTTCATGGGACAATGGCTTGCTCAGCACCGAGTCACCCAAATGCCATCAACCTAGTACAGCATAGATGCATCCCACAAAATTAAAAGCCAGACATTATTAATTGGTGTTTTGTAGTCAGTGGATTCTGCAATATTTGTAAAATACTTACAGGCAGACTTCTTATCATGTTATGAAAACGCAGGGAGGAGGGTGGACAGAACCTGGCTGGCAGGTCAAGCTCGTCACAGCTGCTAACAGCAGCATCCATCATTCCCTTGTGCATCTGACAGTTGCCTCTTTGCTGTCCAGTGTACTAATGCCAACATGCTTCGATTGTTTATTTGTTAAATTGCTTCCAGTTGGGCCAATTAATGGCCAACTGCCCATCAGAGTGGGGATCTTTTTTTTTTCCTGCCAGGTGCCTTTTGGATATTTGTAACTTCATTCCTGGCCCATATAAAATTAACTGCTGGAAAATCAGCCTGCTTTAGATGTATTAAATCCTGAGTCCCACCTAGGTGTGGTTGCCTTCCCGAGGCCAAACTATTCCGCGGGCTGTGTAAGGCCCGCATGGCACATGTTCCCCACCCGTGGACCAGATGAGCGCTGTCTTCTCTGGGGAACATTCATCCACACCGCTATCTTTTTGACCTTCGTTTGGTATGACATAAGTGAATTGTAGTGCGACCAGAGGGCGTTCACCAGGGCACACCAAGGCCCGGAGCGCGTCTGTCCATCAAGAAGTCTAAGCATTTTGCTGTGATAGGACCAAGCAGCTTCTATACCAGCTCAAGACAGGCAGGGTCTAAAAATAAAGACAGAGTATTGAGATTAATTTGGTCATTTTATTTAATATTTACCATTCAGCAGCAACTGACATGAACATCTGTGCTAACAATCTCTCGAAACCTCTATATAGCTGCTTCAGAATCACACGCACATGGTAGAGTCGGCTGTTCACTGCCAGAAACTTCAAAAAGTGGCTCCAAGAGCAAATAACACTGATTTATACTGTGCCCAAGCAGTAGTCAAGAAATCTATTAAATTACACAGAAAAAGGAAATCAAAGAAGCTTTGTTATCTTATGCATATCATCTTACTTAAAAGGAAGGTTTTACTTTAAAGCAGAAATACTGAGTTTGCTATACATACATATATATAGATATATTTGAAGGATGTAATTACAAACACAGAGTGTTACCATCAAAAGCAAAACCTATTTCAAGAGATTTTCCAATTGCAAAACTTGCAAGATACAAAGCTAAAATTCATATGTTCCTTTTCTCCATTATGAATACTTCCACTAAACATAAATATTTTAAACATATATTAATTTTTCTGACATTCAAAACTGTAAAGTCAATATGGCAGAATTATTGTTAAAAGCACATATGTACAAATATTCTTTTTCCCATACATAAAGTATTTGGCATAATTATAACAATCATACTGCATCAACAACTGTTTGCTTTTATTTTTACTTTTTTTTTTACACATAACGGTATCTCTTATTAAAATTAACGAGTTATGTACAAAAATACTTGAACATTTATTATAGAAAACCTGTATAACCAGCCTCAACAGCATATACCTGCTGAATGGTTTCATTAAGAGAATATAAAAAAGTGTTCACTGCCTTCCAGGTAAGCTATCAACAAACAGACACAGTTAAACTGAAATGGGCTTCCCAACAAAAGAGGGAAAATATTTAACAATATGATTTAAAATACAGTTCATATCTATTGTCAATTGAGTGTTATATTATAAACAGTCAAAGAAAAAAATAAAGATACAAAATACATTACTACACACAAGGTGCTTTTTCCACACTTCTACAACGGTGGCACCCCTGATGTCCCCATCTATAGCTAAGACACTACGTTGCAACAGCCCAGCTACAGGGCCTCCACTTACCCGCCTTCCTCAAAGGGACACAGGACTGGTGCAGAAGACAAGATCCCTGGGAACGATGGGAGCGGCACGCAATCTCTAATTCTGTGCAGGACCGCAGGTTAATGCCCTTGCCTTGCCAAAGTCCTTTTGCCATTTAATCATGTTAATACATTTTCGCTTAGTTTTTTTCTTCATTTACGCTACTGAATTAATACTGTCCCGTACTGACTCCTGAATTCCAGTTAATGGGACACAGTCATTTGTGCCTAGTTAATCCTGGACATTTGTTTGCCAGTGGCACATTTGCTATGGGACACCATCAAGTGAGGGAGCATAACATTCAAGTAAACATTTCTCCTAGGGTCTTTTGCTTAATTTAGCTGATGGGGACTCAGAAAGTAAACTGCACCTTGCAAAGAAATACAGTAGGTACCATGCTGATTGGGTACCACAGGGCTCAACGCCTCAGAAAGCAGAATTGCAAGAAGGTGGACGGCTGTCACACATCAATGGCATCCTTACAGATCTATTTTGTTTGCAGAACAAGACAACTTCCAGTCCCAACCCTGGCAACCCCTTTAGTACTTGCATTGCGTCACTAAGCTTTTCCTGATATCAACGATTCAGTAAAAAGTATACCACATGATCACGCAGAGCACGGGTTGACAAGGTTGTATCGGATTGAAGATCGAACTAGCAAGAAAAGAAAGTGGACATAAAAAGGTACAAAAGGAGTCCTTTTCACTATTTGTCACTGTCGAATGAGAACGTTTTAATGAAATTTAGCCATACTTCATGTAACGCCTGGTGTTTCAGACTGGTGACTTTTCATATTGTGCAACATTATTCAATAAGCAGGGTTTCTCTCCCCTCCAAAAATGCTATTTGTTTAAGGAAAGAGCTGTGTAAGGGATTAAAGTGCCTACACTAAATGTCTTCTGAGCCCCACACCTCTTACTTTGTAAACGGCAGAGAATTCACCACAGGGACATACAAAAGGGACTTTATAACTGCGAGACCTTCCGGGGCAGGGGCCTGGGCCTCGGGCCGGCCTCGGTCCTCCGGGTCCCGTTCTCCAGGTGGCTGGGCCGTGCGGGCAGCGGCTTGGGGGGCAAGGCGGGCGGCTCGGCGGTGGCGGGGATGGAGAGGCTGTGCGGCAGCGGCACGGGGCGCCGCAGAGTCCGCTCGTACACGCTGTACGGGGGCGGCGTCTTGCTCTCCTTGCGCGCCGGCTCCTCGGGCCCGCCGCCGTAGCTAGGCACAGGCCCTGGCACAGGCCCTGGCACGGGCGCGGGTACGGGTGCGGGCGCAGGCCCTGGCACGGGCACCGATGGTTCGTTCACCTGGTTTTCAAAGCCTGAGGTTTCCGAGGTGCTGCACCGGCTGAGTGAGGAAATGCCGCTGCTGTAGCTGCCCGACAGGACGGGGGAGTTGGAGCTCAATCCTGGAGAATGGTACTCCACTGGCGAGGGGGAGAACGACTGCACGGAGCCCTGCTGCGAGTGGGACAGACACGGCAGAGTCAGGCGAGCAGCGTTGGGTTCCCTGGGCGGGCGTCTCCCCCCACCCCCAGCTTTAGAGTTTGCAGGACAGCGGGGAGAGAGGAGAAGGATCTGGTCCTAGCCGAGGCACCTCCAAAGTGGCTGGACGTAGGGCCACTTCGGAGAGTGAATTAAAATGCGGCCAACAGCATCAGCCTGGACTGAGCCAAGTGCACGGTTGTCCAGCCAACGATCCATGTAAGAGATGGACTCGCCCAGCCTTGAACATTATATACAATGTATACACGTGCATTGGAACGCCGCCGGAGCCTCATACAGGTGAGCAAGTTTATGTGTCCAAAAAAATTCATGAAAAAGTGGTGAGGTCATGTTGTGAACCCTAATGTTTTCTGACTAGGGTGGAGGGGAGGGGGGAGCTGCAGAAATGTCTGCAGAGAACAGCTGGGACACAGCGTTGTGAGGCTGGCCAGCTCCAAGCCAACATCAGGCCACTGGCGCCTTGATCACTTTTTTTAACTTTAATTCTTTGAGAAAGAGTAGAGGGAAGGAGAGAGAGAGAGATGGATTTCCCTCTGTTGGTTCACTCCCCCAAGTGGCTGCAACAGCCAAAGTTGAGGGCTCGATCTCGGTTCCCTGGGCAGATGACAGGCACCCAAGCCCTCGGGTCATCCTTGCTGCTTCTTAGGGTCTGCGTTAGCAGGAAGCTGGATTCAAGAGCTAGAGTTGGGAATCACACCTGGGCATTACAGTGCAAAATACTAATATCCTAAAAGGCATTTTGACCCCTGCACCCAATGTCCACTCCGATCGCTTTGTCCAAGGCACCAGTGGCCTTGCAGTCAGACATCCAGCCTCACATGGGAGTGCTGTCACACTCAGCGCTGACCAGGGACTGAGCTCCCCAACTGCCTCACTGCTGATGGCTTTCAGCACAGTCAGAATGAAGAAAACAGAGGCCTGTCATTCATTGGTCACAGACTTTGAAAGAGAAGGAACTGGTTTCCAAAGCACTGGATGTGCCATTTCAGCTCTCTTGCCCTCAGGAGGAGGAGTGAGAGGCACCACTGTCCCCGCCCTCAGGAGGAGGAGCAAGAGGTACCGCTGTCCCCGCCCTCAGGAGGAGGAGCGAGACAGTGCTGTCCCCGCCCTCAGGAGGAGGAGCAAGAGGTACCGCTGTCCCCGCCCTCAGGAGGAGGAGCAAGAGGTACTGCTGTCCCCGCCCTCAGGAGGAGGAGCAAGAGACAGTGCTGTCCCCGCCCTCAGGAGGAGGAGCAAGAGGTACCGCTGTCCCCGCCCTCAGGAGGAGGAGCGAGAGACAGTGCGGTCTCCACCCTCAGCTCTGCCGGCCTCACTGCAGGTGCTGGAACTAAAGCTGTGAATGGACTCTGCACCTGACATGGCAGTTGGTTCATAGGCAGTGTTTCTTAAAAACCCAATTTGGTTACAAGTTTTTAAAAATAAGAAAAAACCCTCCAGATTTCTGGATTTTTCAGAAAATCTGGCAGATACACAGCAATGGCCCTCGCTCTCTCCATGGAGCGGCTCTTGGGCAACTGAACGGAGCTGCCACCTTCAGATGAGTATGATCTGTGTAGTTCACTCAGTCCCTGCCACTTCGCAAGATGTTCCCCTCACCCTCCTTCCCTCATTTATGCCCAGATCTGGCTCCCGGTCTGAATTTGCTGTTCCTTCTGTTGGTGTCCTAAGGAAAATGAATGCTACACTCAGAAATACTGAATTTTATACGCTCTGTGTACATTCGAAGTATGTTAGCTTGCAACTCTTAAAGAAATCTGACGAATTGTTCAACCCATTGTTTTCTGAAATAATGTGACCAGAAGCCACTTTCTAACTGAACATATAATATCCTGCAAGTGTGTTTTAAGGAATACACTTTGAGAAATGGTATTCTAGATTTAGTCTCTCGTGCTTCCAATAGTCTTACCTCCCTTTTTTAAGCACACCTAATTTTGTGATCCAAATTCACTGCTGCCTTTGAGCCACAATTCCAAATAAAGCAGGTGAGCTCAGCCTTCTCTATAGGGTTAATGCCATTAATAACTTAAAAAAAAAATCCATCAGCTTCAATCTCTGAAGTGCAGCCAACTGAGTTCTCATCACGGGTGAACTAGTAACGCGGTAGCACCGCGCCTCCTAGTGGACACTAGGGGTTACAACACAAATGTGCCCAACCCACTTGCTCTTCCTTCAAACCCTATATATAAACACCCGGCTCAAACACTGCATAAAAATATGTGCAGTTCGGACGAGGGATGGGATTTCTGAGCTCACAATCAAAGGTTTTGTAGAATACTAGAAGATTTTTCCACCTTTTTTTTTTTAAAGAATGAATCACTAAGGCTCCCTACTGTTCGAGGATTACCCTGCAAAATCAAATCCAGAGCCACACGTGGGAGGGCTCTGGGCGTGACGGTAAAGCACAAATGCGAAGTTGTCATGCTGCTTTCATCTCCTCCCCATCAAGGTGACAAGCGCTGGCTTCCACTGCCAGTCCGTCACATGAAATTTCCTGGTAACAGTTGCACTGCAGAATGCCAACAAAACGAACAGATAAGCCGCTCTTCCCTGGCAAGTGTCTGCCACAGACACGTTGGCAATGCCAATGCTCGCTGATTCCTTTTGCTTGTATGGATTTGGTGTCCAGAGCCTGCGTTTCGATGTGGCGGTACAAGTGTTTCCGATTGCACCCTGCCCCGATGTGCTGGGAGAAGCTCATTTGTCTTTTTCACTTTAGCTTCAACTACCTCGGCAACCAGACGGGCCAGGGGCGTGCGACTCCTCGGTCACGCAGGGGCAAGGTCCTTCGTTCAGCACTCACTTCAGGCTCCGGTTTGCCTCCAGTGCGGCTGCTCTGAACACACCAACCTCCCCCAGGTGCCAACCAGCCCTCAGCCAGTCTAATTCAATTTGGAGGCAGACTAAATATTATTCTTTATCTTCATGAGGGATTTGTATGTTTACAGATGTTAAATAGCCTGTGTCTATACGCCAATGCAAACATCTGACTTTTGTGGCTTTCCAGTTCATTTCCCGACATTTTTAAACTCTATTTTACCATCTTGTTTCTCACCATCAAGGATGTATTTTGAATATAAATGAGATCCTTGGCATAAAATAGTAAAACACCATTGGCTTTCACTTTGTTGGAGTGAGGTAGATGTTGAACAACAAAAAAAAAACCCCACGCAAGGAAGAGTATTCAGTAGATACTTGATTAAAAAAAAAATCTAAGTGTGTGTATGTATTTGATGTGCTTGAAATCAAAAGACCAGCTGAGGGGCCAGGATTGTGGTGCAGCGAGGGTAAGCCACTGGCTGACATGTCGGCAGTTCTAGTCCTGGCTGCTCCACTTCGAATCTAGCTCCCTGCTAATGTGCCTGGGAAGGCAGTGGAATCTGGCCCACTTGCGAGATCATGCTGGAGCTCCCAGCTTCTGCCTGTTAAGGCCGTCTGGCAAGTGTTCCAATGGATGGAAGATCCCTCATCCTTTCTCTTTGTTTCTCCCTCACTCCCTGTTGCTCTGCCTTTTGAAAGAACAAGCAAATATATCTTAAATGAAAAGCCCCTCTAAAGGCAGCTGGGGAAGTCTTGGAGGGAGAAGGACCCGTTTCTAAAGAGGGGCCTGTACCTTTAATGGAGATCGGCCAGCAGGTGAGGGAGATACCGCTGTCGTCGTGTGTCTTGCTGGTGACGCTGTGAATGGGGAGAGAGATGGAGGAGGAGAGAGTGCACATTTTACTGAAGGAACACCACGTGCTGAGTCTCTCAGATGCCCTCCACGGGGACCAGCCCAGCGAGATGACTCAGTGTGCAGGAGCCGAAGCAAGGCGGGGTTAGGAGCTGGGGACGCACACACACAAGAAGGCCTGTGCAGAATGAAGATCTCACACAGGACATGGCACAGTCAGCGAAGCTTTGCACGCACATGATGCTCAGGCAGACACAGTGCCGCACGCTGCTCTAACGTCCTTCCCATCTCCCCGAAGCCCAGCTGTTTATCTACTGCTTCCATTTAGTTCCTAAGGGGCGGGTACCATCAGGCATGAGTGGACTCCCTTGCGACACCTCTACTCACTTTCCTCTGAGCAGCTATGGGAAGAGCAAGGCTACCCAAGCCTTGGGTGTCCAGTCAGACCCACAATATTCCTGCCACAAATGGATATATCCTTGGCCACAGGTGCACTGCCCCACCAGAAGGGAGCGGTTTTCCATGTCTCCCCTCATATCCACAGACTCCATTCTTCCCTTTGCCCTGGAGACTCTGGATTGACTGTGCTGTCCTGGCAGACAAAGGTTCTCCTGGGTCTCCCACTAGAGTTTTAAGACTGACATCCGGGACACAGCGTGCATGCTTATGGATCAAATCCAGCTCCTTACAGCATAACTGTGTGTGCTAAAAGCT